TAATGCAAAGAAAAAGGGGAGGGGGAGGGAACAATGGAAGAAAATGTTAAATAATCACGCAGATTGATTTAGTAAAATTCAGAATGGAAAAAAAAATCCACAACAAATAACCAGATTCCCTAAAAAATAAATTGCAAAGTAAATAGAAGAGATAGGAGGGTACAGTCACCAACTGACTGCAATGTATAGACTTTATTTGGATCCTAATTCAAACAAACTGTAAGAAAATAAAAAAATTAGTAAACAATTCCTGCAGTATGAATACTAAGTGGCTGTTTGATACTAAGGAGTCATTGTTTATTAAAATGTGATGATGGCAATGTTGTGCTATTATTCTTACCTTTTTGAAATAAACGCCAAAATGTATTTATATTACATTACAAATGGAATATCATTTCTTTGATTTCCTTCAGAATAATCTGTAATGATTGGAGGGTGGAGGAAGTAGGGGCAGGGTATAAATGAAACAATATTAGCGATAAATTGGCCATTGTTGAAGCTGAGTGATGGGTGCATGGTATAGTTTTTCTTATTTATATACGCATGAATTTTTCAAATAACAAGGTGTTTATGAAAAAGAAGTATATCCCTCAGTAAAACTGCTTAAATTGATCTCACTATTTTACTAAATAAAATCAGATTTCTAAGGTAACCCTAAAAACAACTTATTCAGACATTATAACTCTCCATTAACAGTTCACATTTATCTATTGCTACTTCCCTCCAAGCCCTACTTCATTCATAAAGTACTGTCTTCTAGCCATAAGTATGTTTCTCCTTGTCACTTGCTGTTTTTTCTTGCCCTGTTCCTTGTACTAGAAGACTCCTTTCTTACCACTCCAGCTTCTGACTTTTCCAATCTCCTAAAGATCAGCTCAAAATGACATTTTTATCTATCAAGCCCTTCTCAATCTCCTATAGGTTGGTTGAATGATTTTCATGGTTCCAGTGCAAGTGACAATTACAGTATGTGAGGTTTGCCTGGTATTAAAGGTATGTGTTCTACATATTATTTGATTTACTAAATTGTAAACTTAGGTTATAAGTTAGTGACTCTGTTTTTGTTTTTTTTTTTTACCTTTAAGTCAGCAGCAGAAGTGTCTGGAAAGTAATAGATGCTCTATGAAAGTGACTTAGATTTTAAAAGAGTTATTTATTTAATATTCTACCCTACTCATTAAAATGAACTATAAATAGGGTCCAAAGTTATAAACACTTCTGTATGGATGGGTTTCAATATAAATTTGTAACTTTGGTTTGTAAAATAATAGTATACAATTATTTTTTAATTTCTTTTTAAAAATATTTTGGAGTGTTTTGGGAAATTTAAACTGTATACACATACACACACACTCACACACACACACACACACACACACACACACACACACACAAAATGGAATATTATTCAGCCACAAAAAGAATGAAATTTTGCCATTTGCAGTGACATGGATTGAGCCAGAGTATAATCCTAAACAAAATAAGCCAGTCAGAGAAATACAAATACTATATGATTTCATTCATATGTGGAATTTAAGAAACAAGACAAACAAGCAAAGAGAAAAAAATAAGAGAGAGAGAGAAACCAAGAAACAGACTCCTAATTATAAAGAATAAACTGATGGTTACCAGAGGGGAGATGGACGGGGGAGTGGGTTAAATAGATGATAGGGATTAAGGATTGCACTTGTGATGAGCACAGGATGATGTATGGGAGTGTTGAATTACTACATTGTACATTTCAAACTAATATAACACTGTATGGTAACTAACTGGAAATAAAACAAAAACTTAAAATAAAATAAAATACTTGTATTTTACATAAGAATCATGAGATGGCCTTATAACTTTCAAGGCTTAAATTGTTGGTAAAATAAACAGAAAAGAAATGCAAATCTTGGGTCAGTAGACAGTCATTCCCAAAGCTTCACATTATTAGAGATTCAAAATATTAAGTATATTATTAGATTTGAGACTTGAGAGTGGCTGGCCCAGGAAGGTTGTTTTACCAATCTCTGTTTTCAGGGGTCAGGGCACTGAGGGAAAGAGGAGTAATATGGTAGCTGATGATGAACTATGTTACAGAGCTCACTGGCCAGAGAGAGGTAATCTTCCAAGTTCACTTGACTCCTAGAAGGCTGCTCATTCCACAAAGCTGCCCCTTGGTTGACCCTAAAAAAGAATTCTAGTGACCTTTTAACTTTTCCAGTTATCTTCTTCACCTAGTATTGTTCATAATTTAAGAAAGACAACCCAGGTGTGATTATCACTTTACCAGATTGACAGAAGGTAGAAAAAATAGCAATAACATTGAGTTGAAAGCATTCAAAAATACTTCTGATATTGTGATCTGAGGAATGCCCTCTTCTAACTGTGTTAGTTAGTGTTTGGCAGCCTGATTATAGAAAGTGGGTCAGCAGTTAGATCTGATTAGGGGTATGGAGCTGTTAACCTGGATAGAGTGCTAGAACAAAGGGACAAGAGTATTGAGGGTGTGGGTGAGAGAATTGATAAAATAATGGTTGGAATCTGGACAGAATTTGACCCAGGAAAAGATAATATAGTTGAGTGAGATCTTGAGTATTTGCCTTACTCCGTTCTTACAACTTTAAAAGGAGCATCAGTAAACTCAAGCATATCCAGAGGACAAGGATAAGAGAAGTAAAGTTTGAGGACAACATAACATAAAAGGAATTGTTCAAAAGACAGTCTATTTAAACAGAAGAGTTAGATCATCATATTCAATATTCAAAACTTCTATCAATTGTCACCTGAAAAAGTATTTAGACTTTCTTCTGTGGCTTCACAAGAAATCACTGGGACCTATTTGTGAAGATATACAAATTACATTTTGTCTTAATCTAATTTGCTCCCTATGGAAGGTCCATAATTGGCATGGAAGGATGGCTTTATGTCAGCCTATCCCTAGTGTTTTTCAATTGAGTGTTCAATTATATTAATATGAATATAAGCAAACAACTTTAAGGTAAAGACCACTCTTCAATTCCAAATCTGTTAAAATATGTAAATTCTGGCATATATCTTTTATAAATAATAAAAAATTATACTACTATATAAATCTCATTAATTTAAAATTAGTTTAATATATTTATTTAAACACATGTATAAAGCTCATCAGAATATAACAGTATTATTTTCTCTACTAGTGGACATAAGCTTATGTCCACCAAATAATAGTGTTTATCTCTTGTTCTAGAGTCCAGTGTGGAGCCACTAGCCACACATGTCTATTGAGACCTTGAAATGTGGCTAGTCTGAACTGAGATGTTTGTAGGTATAAAGACATAGAAGATACTACTATAGACATATTCAGGTAAACAAAATATATTATTATATTATAATTAATTTCACCTCTCTCTCTCTTTTTGTAATTTTTAACCTTTTAAAAAATGTTCCTAGAGGGTTGCCTGGGTGGCTCAGTAGGTTAAGAATCCAACTCTTGATTTTGGCTCAGGTCATGACCTCAGCTCAGGTCATGATCTTGCTGTTTGGGAGAGGGAGCCCTGTGTAAGGCTCTGCACTGACAGCATAGAGCCTGCTTGGGATTCTTTCCCTTCCTCTCTTTCTGCCCTTCCCTTGCTCGTGCCCTCTCTCCATCTCCAAACAAATAAATGAACATAAAAAACTGTCATTTTAAAAAATAAAGATAAAAATGCTACTGGAGTGTTAAAAACTGTAGCTCAAACTGAATTTTTATTGGGGCGCCTTGGTGGCTCAGTCGGTTAAGCGGCCGACTTCGGCTCAGGTCACGATCTCGCAGTCCGTGAGTTCGAGCCCTGCGTCGGGCTCTGGGCTGATAGCTCAGAGCCTGGAGCCTGTTTCAGATTCTGTGTCTCCCTCTCTCTGACCCTCCCCCGTTCATGCTCTGTCTCTCTCTGTCTCAAAAATAAACGTTAAAAAAAAATAAAAAATTTAAAAAAATAAATAAAAAAAACAAACTGAATTTTTACTTATGATGCTGCTCTTGAGTGGAGAATAATAGGGTCAACAGTGTAGTTCTGTTTATAGTTAAATTACGACATTGCAGATGTTATCCTTTGCATTCCTCTATAGTGATTATGTTTATTCATTGATTTAATCCTGGCATATGCCAAGCATTCTCTAGGCTTCAGAGAAAAAGCAATGAACAAAACAGAGTAGGGAAAAAAAAGAATTCTAGCCCTAAAGCATTTTACTTTCTTACATAAGGAGAAGAACAATTAACAAATTAATAAAATATACAATACGCCAGATGATAACTGTTGTTGAAAAAATATGGCAGTGAATCAGCATTTGGGTTGCTGGTGGGAAAAAGCACCATAGATCATGGACTTGAAATTGCAGTTTTCATGATAGTCTGGGAGGGCTTCACTAAGAAGGTAATAACATGTGCAAAGTAAGGAGGGAATGAACCATGTGAATGTTAGGAGGAAGCATATGATGAGCAAAGGAAAGATCAAGTGGAAAGCTCAAGATGCCTGAGTTGGGTGGAGTATTCAAGTAACAGCAACTGCTAGGTCACTGTATGCACTTTCCCCTTTTCTTCTGGGCCCTGACATAAGATACAATTCCAGAATTTTAGCAGAGCAGGAACTTATTTTTCCTTACATTATAAATATAAAAAGCAAAGTGTGAAAATGAATCTTCCTATGGAGCAGTATATAAGGGGAATGAGTAGAGGATGATGACTAGTTAGGAGGCAAAAAATGATGGTGGCTTGGACCAAGGTGGTTATGGTGAAGGTTATGGCAAGTGGCAGATTCTGGAGACAGAGCCTACAAAACTTGCTGACAGATTGGGTGTGTTCTGGGAGAGGAAGAGAGGTGTCAAGGATTTTTTTTTAGTGACCTTTCCCCTCCATTATGCTATCAAATTAATGTTAGAAAAATACACATAGTCAGTAGAATTGCTTTTATAATGTCTTTTATTTGCTTTATTTATTTGCTTATATTTGCTTTATAAAATTTTTATATAAAATGCTTTTATTTGCTTATAATAATTTGCTTAATTGCTTTATAATGTCTATTATTGGTTTTCAGTTATGTTACTGAACTGTATTACTTAAGAAGAGCTTTCAAAAAGCACAATGTAGAACTTACTATCAAGCCATGTTATAATACAGTATTAGTTATTTTCAGCACTATTGGCATTTAGAGCCAAACCATTCTTTGTTATGGGGTTGTCTGTGCATTACAGGAAGTTTAGCATCATTCTTGGCCTTTACCCACCAGAAAACAATAGCCACTGTCCATCAAGTTGTGGTAAACAAATGCTCCCTGCTCACTAGAATCTTTTCTTAACATTATAACCAATGAATAAGGTCTTATTATTAGTTATCTAAAGTAGTAGCAGACATTTATAAAAAATACATTGTACTGATGAGGAAGTATAAGGCAAGCTAACACCCCACAGCCCACAGACCCCCATTCTTCAGGCACTCCTGGCTGCACAAGAACAAAGGAAAGGGAAAAGCCAATGGTTAACTGATGGAAATCACAGTCATGCAGGACATGATTTCCATCAGTTTACAAATATCTTAATAAATTATAAGAAAAAGGCAATCTTATCAATAGCCTAACCTCCAGAAACCCATAGATTCAATTTCCTGGACTCCTAACATCTCCCTCCCTTCCATGGTGATGTGGGGAACAAAAGCAAGATGAAAATATAAATACAATTAAATTTATTTAGAACCTGCAGCCCATTGGCAAATACTTGAGACAGGTGGAGTATAACATTTCTCCAGGAACTCCCTACCATCTTAACGTTAATGCTTTGGTAGAAGGAAAAACAAGCTTTGCTTGACAATAGCTAGGCCTCCTATTAGACAATAGCTAAAGTCTTCTTTAGCATATAAAAGTCCTTTTGGAAACCTCCCTTTTGCCTTAACCTCCCCCAACTCCATAGTATGTTATCAGTCACTCCTCACAACCCCAGTGCAGCTGTTTCTGCCTAGGGATCCTGTCCCTGTGCTTTAGTAAAATCACCTTTTGAACCAAAGACATCTCGAGAATTCTTTCTTGGCCGTTGGCTCTGGATCCCCACCATCACTCCAAAGCTGCATCATTACCAGGCAATTTTTGATGTGTGCCATAGGTCATAATTCCATTTATTCACCATAGCCATACAATGAGGAAGTTACTATTGTTCTGTCATTTTACAACCGAAGAAATCACAGTGTAATATATTCACTCACTTCCCCAAAGTCTCCACATGAGTGAGTGATGGAAGTGGGATGATCTAGAAATGTAGGCCCTTCTTAACATTTCTTTACAGAAGACACTTCAAATCTACATTTGTTCAAGAGTTTGTCTTCATGACTTTAAAATATGCTGTGGATTTAATGAAAATATCAAAGTTGTATTACCACTTAATATCAGGAAGAAAATTGCTTGGTTTAATAACTTTCTAAAACTTTCTCATTCATATATTGCAAACATAGAATTTGGAAAATATACCGTTGCCCAATCAAATTGTAACATTGTTAATATTCTTGAATGTTTTACATTTAACCAAAAACTATATAATACCAACTTTACAAACAAGTAGGTTTAATTTTTTTTTTCTCAGAGGAAACATTTTAAATTTTAACCTGGATTTCATTAAAATATGTTTCTTCAGCTGTGTGAAGGGTTGTGAAGAAGTGGGAGAAAGAACAGAGTGTGACAAAACTATGACCAAGGAGTTAGGAAAAACATTTCAGGAACAAAGAGAACTAATTAACTCAAGCATATGGTTCATCTCACTCTGGTAAGAGCTAAATGCCTTTTATGCACTTCAACTGTTCACAGTACTGTGGGGTGGCTACTCACATGATCATAAATAGAGAAACTATTAGAAAGCATTGAAATTCATAATGCATACTATATTTTACAAAATAGAAATCCTTTCCTTCCTAATTTGGTGATCCAATATATTAAATTTCCCACTTAGCTTGGAATTAAAAAAAACAAAAAACAAAAAACCTAATGTAGATTAGTTTTTATTTTTCTTAAAAAAAATGCTATGACAAATACATGTCAAAGTTAGGTGGGTTTCTTTTAGTGTGTCAGAAACATCAGTGGTTAAAAATAGTTACTGCTTAAATCTATAAAGATTGACGTAAAATGTGCAGAAAATTATATCTTTACTATTTCCTGGACATTTCTCTAAGTGTAATATTTTGGATAGTTTTGAAAATTCTTGTGTGAACTACCTCTTTCTCTTCAATGTATATTTTAGAGTATAAGGAAGGCATGTAAGTTAATTGAGTTTTGAATGAGATCTACACTCCTATATAATCTCTTTTTAACATAAAATATTTCTAATCTGAAATAATTATTTCAAAGTAAAATTTGCAGAAGCAGAAACATTACATTTTTTAATTAAAAATTAAAATTATTTTTATTCTTTCCCAGACTAAATATTTCATTTTCTATTGATATTTACTGGAGAATCTCCTGGGGGCATGTTCAAAAACAGAGTACAGGGTTCAACCTTCAGAATTTCTGATTCAGTAGGTCTCAGGTGGGGACATAAGAGTTGTGTTTCTAAAGAGTCACAGATGACACTGATGTTGCTGGTCCTGGGACTACATTTTGAGAACCTCTGTGTTTGAGAAAATCGTCCCTGAAAAACCAAACTCTGATCAGTTGCATATCCTGACAGGTGTTAGCATTAACCATCCAAGTGTAGTATATACATTTTAGCATTTAATGATACATTTAAAAATTATTCTCGGGGCGCCTGGGTGGCGCAGTCGGTTAAGCGTCCGACTTCAGCCAGGTCACGATCTCGCGGTCCCTGAGTTCGAGCCCCGCGTCGGGCTCTGGGCTGATGGCTCAGAGCCTGGAGCCTGTTTCTGATTCTGTGTCTCCCTCTCTCTCTGCCCCTCCCCCGTTCATGCTCTGTCTCTCTCTGTCCCCAAAAAATAAATAAACGTTAAAAAAAAAATTATTCTCAAATATTATTTAATTTGTAAACTCAGTAACAAGAATGATCCTATTTCTTTTGTATTTTCCAGAGTATCAGGTATTTTGTCCCTCACAAATATGCCATTCAACTAGTAAGCAGGTATGATAGAAATATGAGAAATGTACAAAAGTGTTTTTAATACATTAGGTATTTCTTTGTACACTATTATTATTTGGATGATTTATTTTTATGACACATTTTTATATTGAAAAATAAGTAACAAGTAATTAAGAGATAATTCAGGAAAGTCATCTTGCAGTAAAAAGTTTAGAATCTCAACTCTAACCCTGGTGTTATCAATAGTTAGATTTATGATTTGGGACCATTTGTCCCCTCTGGTTTTCAGTTTTTTCTTCTATAAACTGAGGGTAGTGGATTAAATGAGCTCTAATCCTGGGAATAAGTTTTAAACTGGATGGTAACTTTAAAAAAGCACAGACAGGGGCACCTGGGTGACTCAGGCACTTAAGTGGTCAACTCTTGACTTCAGCTCAGGTCATGATCTTATGGTTGCTAGGTCCAGTCCCATGTCTGGCTCTGCACTGACAGCAGAGACTGCTTGGGATTTTCTGTCTTCCTCTCTCTGTGCCCCTCCCCAGCTCACGCACACACACACTCTCTGTCTCTTTCCAAATAAATGAATAAACATTTTAAAAATAATAAAAATTTTAAAAATAAAAGCACACACACATATGTCTTCTTACAGACTAATGATACTGTCTTGTTATACTCAAACACACTGTGGTATATGTACAAGAGAGTGAAGATTCCAAGTCTTCTCTTTAAAAATTGGCCACGTGATATGCCAGCCTAACAAGGTGTGGAAGAATTAAGGGGATGCCATAACTTTGAGGAAGATGTATGCTTTTCTACATACCTGAAGGAGTAGATTTGAAAAAAAACACCTTTTTTTATTCCTCATGCATGGTACTATGTGCCATCTAATTATACGTAGAATTTCAGGAGGGTTTCCAATGCACTTGATAAAGATTCTTTTTTTAAAACAGTATCAAAACCCTCAACTGTAAAGATACCAGATATCATTAAAGAGTAATTTATAGTCTAAAATAAACCTATCATGTTGATTACAAGAATCAAATGTGTTATCCTTAAATTAGATTTTAGTGTAAACCTCAATGTGTACTTTGTTCCATAGAATTAATGAACATACACCATTGCTTATTTTCCATTTGTTTTACTGATTTAATAAATAAGGATTCTAAGTTGTACTTTGAAGAGCTATTTCTTTATTCTCCTTAACAAAAGGGTTTTATTTCAGTACTTTTGATTTCCCTTAATAATGTTAGTGTGGTTGGCATTTAATAAATCTTATAAATTAGTATAAAAATGGATCGGCCCACAGTCTTGTTTTTTATGAGTCTGACTTGCCTGTTGGGTATGCTGAGAGAAAAATATATTGGTATCACAATTCTTTTAGAACAGTTCAGAATAATTTTTATTTACCTTAACAGAGTAGGAATAAAGTAGGATCTGAGTCTATCTTAGAATTGTTTTTTATTGATGCTTAGAATATTTCTGTGGACCATAAATTCACTTTCATTTGATTAACAAACATCAAAAAAGCAACATACACAAAAGCAAATAAAAGCAACAAAAAGCTGAGCTTCTCTGTGTCATACTCCTGTTTTGCCAAGTCAACACATTTGCTACATTTTCCAAGTAATAAAGATGAGCGACTGTGTTAATTACAAGACCAGGAGGAATGTACAAATAAGCTTTTTTTCTATTCATCCACTGCTTTGATCCCATTTGACCTGAGAACTGTTGGGATCTTTGGTTTCTCAAAGGCACTGCTGACTATTCAGAGAAGAATGAATATTCAAACGGCTTTGCAGAATGGGTTAGCCATCGGCTGTGCCCTTTATTAGTTGTGTACACTTGAGAAATTTTCTTAATTTCTCTGTGTCTCAGTTGTTTTTCCTTTGCAAAGTGTAAGTACTTTTTTTTAAAAAAAAGGGTTTTGTAGAATAATTTTCGTATCCACTTTCAGTTTTTTAATTTTTTTCAGTTTTATTAAAGTATAATTGACAAATAAAAATGATATATACTTAAGGTGTACAACGTGATATTTTCATATAGGTACACATTGTTAAGTGATTATCACAATCAAGCTAATTACATTATTCATCACCTCACATAATTACCTTTGTTTTTGTTGTTCTGGTAATGACAACATTTAAGATCAACTCTATTAGCAAATTTCAAGTACACAATACAGGATTATTAACTATAGTAACCCCTCTGTACATTAGGTATGAGAACTTACTCATCCTGCATAACTGAAACTTTGTACATTTTGACCTACATCTCCACATTTCCCCTACCCCCAGTCTACTAAAAAAGTTGAGCTCATATAAGCAGAGAATAAGTGGTAGTTATAAGACTATACTTACATACTGTAAGTATGCTTTAAAAATACTTCTCAACCCTATATCTCCAATGAGGAAGCATCCACCACCCCAATATTGTGACACCTAGTGCCTTATGCAAAGCATTTATATTGCTCTTATCAACTGTGTTGTAAAGATGAGCTTCGTATCCACTAGCCTCTAAAAGCAAACCAACTGGGGAACCTGGGTGTTTCAGTTGGTTAATAGGTTGACTTTTTATTTTGGCTCAGGTCAAGATCTCAGGGTTGTGAGATAGAGAGCCCCACATCAGGCTCCAGGCTGGGCTTGGAGCCTGCTTGGGATTCTCTCTCACTCCTTGTGCCTCTATCCCTCCCCCCACCTTTGCCCCTGCTTCCACTCACTTTCTCTCTCTTTCTCTAAAAAAAAAAAAAGCGGGGGGGGGGGGCGGTGCCTGGGTGACTCAGTCCGTTAAGTAGCCCACTCTTGATTTCAACTCAGGTGATGGTCTCATGGTTCGTGAGTTCAAGCCCAGTGTCAGGCTCTGTGCTGACAGCACTGAGCATACTTGGGATCTCTCTCTCCTTCTCTTTCTGCCCCTCTTCTGTTTGCGCACTCTTTCTGTCAAACAAACAAAAACAAACGAACAATTAAAATGAAATAAAAGCAAACCAAGCAACAAAATAACTTTAAAACTTTAAGAGTAAGGTCAGTGTTTAATTCTTCTTCATAACTCTAACAGCTCCCAGAACTTAAAAAGTGCTGACAGAAAGTATTAAATATTCACTTAATAAACAAAATAATTCTTTCTGATAAAATTAGTAATTTTTACTGATTTGTGGTAGATGCAGCTTTGATATTTAGGATCTTGTAAAGCATCAATGAAGAGTCCATTGGCTTGGTCAGTGTGGTGTTACGGCTGAATCAGAAACATATGTTAAAAGGGAATGAGCTTCCCAAGTGGGTAAAATAATCTTGAATTAATGTATGTAATAAAGCAGGCATGACAGAACTTGTGAACTCTCTAAAACACCATTAGAGCTCTTAGTGTAATCTCATTTTTGTACTTAGTAGCATCATTGTGTAACTTGGCCTGAAAGAATTTAATTTTAGAATGTCTAAATCACACTTATGGGGAAAATTTTAGAAGAATCTACATTGCGAACTAAGCTTTTCTTCTGTCCTCTAAATTGATATAGGGAAGCATTTATTTTTGTTTCCAGAAAGTAAAAGTGGTCAGAAGGGCAAATTATCCATAATTAATGAACTGAACAACATAAAGGATTTTACAATTTCCTTTTATTTAAAGAAAAGCTATAAAGAAGAAATACTTCTATAAATGACATGTTTAATGGACAAGACTTTTTAAAAAAAAGTCTCATCTGCATGAAGAAGCATGATTATTTCCAATTGGGATAAAACGTAGAAATATAATTGTTCCTTCCTTGTAATGATGCCAAGTACACACTAGTTTTGAATAAATTTTTTTTTTGGTTAATTAATTGAAATGATCAAGGCATTCTGACATTACTTTGCAGTCTTTGTTAGCTGATGTTCAAACTTTGATCCACCTACCGTTTTAGTAGATTGGAAGTAGAAACCAGGTTTTGACTTACAAATTAATTTCATGTCAGCATTACTACATTATTTTAATCCTGAATAAATATATTTCATTAACTAAAAGGCAGAGCCCCTTAAGGAAAATAATGATAATTGCCAATATGTATTTACATAAATACAAAGTTCCTCAATGTTATTTTATAAGTGTCAGAGCGAGATTCAATCTCAGGTCTCGGATGCTAACTTCCTAGGCCTATGCATTCTATGATACTGCTTATGCCAATAAAATTGGGGTTTTTTTTGTGCCCCTACACCTCTTTTTATGTGCTCCTTTGCCTTCATTCTGCTTCCTTCCAAATAATCATTCTTGATGTACAACTAGTGATATCCATCCAACTCTGCAGATGCTGGCTTCAAATGTTACTCATTCTCTGCCCCATTCTTTCACTTTCTTTTGTTCTTGGCAATGTGACAATGAGTCTAGTGGACATTCTGGTAAGCTGGCCACTATTACAAGGCTAATAATCCATGTCCAAATTGATTCAGATCAATAAACCATGCTTATATTAAGATAATTAGTGGCAGTGTGGTAGGCTTTTTTGACCACCACTGGCTTTACACACACACACACACACACACACACACACACACACACACACACACACAATAAATGAAGGTATTCCTTTTCAGAACTGATGAGTAAATGAATTCCCTTTGAATTGTTAGAATTTCCTCATTCTCACTCTTAGTCATAATTATCTTTACTTTGTCATCCTCATCTTGCATTCTTCAACTGGCCAAACTACTTTACGGGAAATGTGTCATAAACTAAAATATACTTCTATTTAGCAAAAGTGGAAAAACAGACTATTAACTATTGAGAACAGATGAAAATGTACATATTAGGGTTACTTACAGCATCATTGCCAACATTGGAACAAAATCTGAAATTCTGATTTCTGCTATATCTGGGTGGTGCTAATTTGACCACGTTTTTAAAAATTAGCCATGGTAGGGGCGCCTGGGTGGCTCAGTCGGTTAAGCGTCCGACTTCAGCCAGGTCACGATCTCGCGGTCCGTGAGTTCGAGCCCCGCGTCAGGCTCTGGGCTGATGGCTCGGAGCCTGGAGCCTGCTTCCGATTCTGTGTCTCCCTCTCTTTCTGCCCCTCCCCCATTCATGCTCTGTCTCTCTCTGTCCCAAAAATAAATAAATGTTAAAAAAAAATAAAAAAAAATAAATAAAAATTAGCCATGGTAATGTTTGAACACTGAAGGACAACTGGGTTATGTTTTCAAAATATATCTTTCAAACTTTTTTTATCATCTAAAACATAAAGCAAAATAAACAAAGCTCAAATAACAACAATGACCAAAAAAAAGCCCTATGCCTTGATTAATGATTTTTGAAATTATGTTTTAGTTATATAATAATTCAATGTAAAATAACTCGCACGTTTTTAACATCAGAACAATCCTTTCCCTATGGAGTTCATTTATACCTGAGATTCATGTGGTAGGCCTTGGCATTCCACAAAGAAATTAATGCCAGCAGATATTAGTTTGTCTAGACTTCTATTCCAAAAGGCAAACTATTTCCCCAGTTTTAGGACACATAAATGGCTAAGAGGATGATACCATGTATAAAGGAATGGGTTCCAGACATAAAATACCTATAGCTATAAAGGGAGAAACAGATGGTGTACATCAGAATTCTCCCAATAATAAGGAATGTACTATTTTATGTGGATCCCTAAAACCTGGTCTTAAAATCCTTAACGAGCTGAACACACTTGCTCATGGCTCCTCGATCATTAGACTGTAAAACAATGAAGCCTCCTTGATAAGGTAAAAGTGAGTTATCAAGCTACGTCGGTACTTTCTGACAAAATCCTGAGTTGAGTTTTAAGTTAGATGTGTAAAGGAAAGTTGATAAAAATATAATAAAGAGCCCCAAACTAGAAATAGTCCTCAGCATTTCTTTCTTGCCTCCAGGACTCTTTGGCTTCCCCTCCTGCTTTCCCTTATTGCTTCTGTCGCTCCTCCATCTGCTCCATCTGTTAAGGTCCACTTAACAGTGTCGTGTTTGTTGGTTTAAGAAAAACCATGCCAAACAAAAGGCTTCCAATAAGTGATTTTCTGCTAAAATGCAAGGTAATTTGTAGAGCCATCAAAGTCCAAATGTTTTTTAACTCTTGTATCTGTGTGTGTACATATGTTCTTGGGCAATATATCCTGCAAGAAAAAATTATGTGGTATGTCAAGGAGTCAATGGTGCCTTTTATAAAATTGTTAAGAAAACATTTTAAAAAAGAGATTGGAAGACAGGTTAACTACTTAATAACTAACTTATTTTTTAGGTCCACTTTAATCATGCTCTCTTTGCTCGCAATTAGTGTCACAGAAGTAAATAAGCTACTGTGAGAACACTTTGATCTCAATTACTGTTTGGGTAGAAAAATAAGTTGTTCTTTACACCACCTGAACTGATTTTCTGAATTATTATGTGAGGAGTATTTTTTTTTCAAGCAATGTAATTGCCTTGTTTTCCATTTAGGGAGGAATACAGAAGAATGTATTCCTAAAAATGAAGATATACATATTATTACCAGGAGTAGAAACTTTGTATAATGGAGATAATATTGACCTAGGAATCAGAACTTCTGAGCTCTAATCCTTATTCTGTAACTACCAAAGTTACTTTCCCTTTGGCAAATGTCAGTTCTCTGGGTCTCACTTTCCTAAACTGTAAAAAAGAGCTTTGGACTTAGTCTTCAAATTACTGTCAAATTCTAAAGTTATTTTTATCTATCTTAATTCAGTTAAATGCATTTCCTCAAGTATGCTTCCATTACCTCTTAGGAGTTTTTGTTTTTGTTTTTCCTTGAAATTCTCAGAGATTACAGACTTTAACTTAGGGACAAAGGATGATAAACTTGTTTTAGGTAAATGTAGAATAGAATTCAGAAACTCCATTACAAATCATCAACTCTAGTATCATTAAATGTTCAGCCTCCTTGCTCATTATAAATTTAAATGTCTTGAAAATCCATGTATTAATTAAGTGAAGTGAGAGATAATTTACTAAATGTACATGCAATGAGCAGATTCCTGTGTCAGCCCCATATGCAATTTGATAGTAGATTCAAGGAATTTTAGAGCAGACAGGAATTTTATTACTCTTTATTTTCACAAATATTTAAAAGGAAGTAGAGACAGTGAATGACTTCTGCATGTTCTTTTACAACACTATTGGGGTAAAGTTTACATATAATAAACTAATTTATAGAGTATAATTTTGTGTTTTCACATAGGTATACACCAGTGAATGCGTCACTAAATCAGCATATTTGTGATATTCTTCACTCCCAAAAGCTTCTCTGCCTTTCTGTAATCCCTCCCTACCCTCCTTCTTCATCCCCTGGCAACCATTGACCTGCTTTCTGCTTCCATATATTAGTTTGCATTTTCTATAATTCTTTACAAATAAAATGATACACTATACAATGCCCTCTACCCCTTTTTTTTGGTCTGGCTTCATTCATTCAGCATATTTAAAAATTTTTCTTTTAATGTTTTTCTTTATTTTTCAAAAAGAGCAAGAGAGAGTGCAAATGGGGGAGGGACAGAGAGAGAGGGAGACACAGAATCTGAAGCAGGCTCCAGGCTCTGAGCTGTCAGCACAGAGCCCTATGTGGGGCTCCAACTCACCAACCGCAAGATCATGACCTGAGCTGAAGTGGGACACTCAACCGACTGAGCCACTTAGGTGCCCCATAGCGTATTCTTTTTTTTAAAGATGCATCCATGTTATTACTATTGGGAGATAATCCTCCAGGGGTCTCCCATGTTTTCTACATGTCTTGTGAGCAGAGTCACCAACTGCTTTTGTTCTGGATTATCTTTGCAGGGATATTTGAATAGAGGAGAGACTTGGAAGATAGCGAGTCTCCCTCCAGAGCAAAGGGCAGGTTTGTGTATTGTCCAGTATGATAAAGATATTGCCTTCCTACAGGGTAAGGTTAAGCAGGCTTATTGCCTAGTATAAAATACTTGAGTCCCTGAGCTTGAGGTCATCGTTCTGTAACACACTGTATTGCATCCGCCATCTTCACATTGTCCTGCTTGAATCGGCGCTAAGGGAACCGTGCTACTCTGCTATTGCTAATGTTGTGCATAAGAAAGTCCTTTGTCTCTGACCCGGGAGACTCTAGCTTGTTAGCTGGCAAATGCAGTAAAATATCAGATCCTTTAGAGTTCTTTCCAGTTAGTTCATTATTTTTTATTAGTGACTTAATGCATTTTATGGCTATACCTCAATTTGTTAACCCATTTATAAGTTAATGGATATTTGGGCTCTTTCTAGTTTTTGGCAATTACAAGGAAAAAAGCTGTTATGAACACTTATGTACAAGTATTTATGTAAACTATACTTTCTCTTTAGTACATACATAGTAGAATGGCTGGCACACATAGAGGTATATGGTTAACTTTTAAAGAAACTGCCACATGGTTTTACAAATTGGTTGTATCAACCAACATTTCTACCAACATACCTTCATAGGCTGGGCTCCTCTGCTGGGTAGGCTGTGGACGGCTCCACGGTTTGGTGGTACAGCGGGCTGTGTTCCAAGGCTGCCCAGGGTCGCTGTTCAGGCTCCCAGGCTATGTGGGACCAGAGACCGTGCTCAACAGTTGGGCAAGACGGCGGGCCTGGCTTTGCTCTGCAACTGCCCCGGTTCTCTGGCCAGACTTCCGGGATGGGTAGGATTAGAGGATCCAAATCTGCTTCCCTGCCAAGGGGCAGCAGTAAAACGAGTTGCTACGGCCCTGACTAGAGACCCGAATTAGGCAGAACTCTGCCAACCAAGCTCCCTGGCGAAAAGGGATGACCAGCAGAGACACCTGCTGTGATCTCTGCCCAGGCACAGCTGTAAGTAGGCTCTGGGTTCTGGCCGCTGTAAGCCCCACCCCCACCATCGTCAGCTCCCGCCCATTCCCTCAGTGATTCCGTCCCAGGCGAGACCCAGTGGGCCCCTGGGAAGTGTCCTGCAACGCTGGGGAAACAGGATGTCTACCTCTGGTTCTCTTTAACCCCTTGTGACGAGGTAGGTCCAGAGCAGCCTTGAGGCAGAGCTGCGCCCCGGTTTGGGGGAGGGACGACGGGACCAGAGTGGAGCCACTTCTCTTACCCTTATAATATGATCTGTCTTGGTGTCTGCTGTCTAGGGGGGTGCTTCAGTCTCACCCCTGGGTTCTGGGATTTTTCTCAGTGGTGTCTTGTCTGTGGATGGATGCTGATCGATCTTGTGACTGGGAGTGAAGTCAGGATGATGTTACCTCCTCAAGAGGATGGGGACTGGCCCAGGTGGAACACTGGTGGCAAGCTCCTAACAGCCTAGAGAGCTAGGTTGGTGGTGGTGGACCTTTGTAGGCTGAAAATAAGCAAACTATTGATACACACAACTTAGGCGAATTTCAAAACCTTTGTTAAGTGAAGGTGGTAAAACATTAAATTCTGTATGGCCCCATTTATATGAAATTCTGGAAAAGGCAATGTTTATGATAGACAGCAGATCAGTACTGCTTGGGTCTGGGAATTGAGGAGGGAATTCATTTCAAAGAGGCCCGAGGCAACTTTCTGAGGTAATGTAAATGTTTTGTAATGTATCGTGATCATGCTTACAAAACTGCACACAGTTACCTAAACTTAGTAATCTGTACACTTAAAATGTGGGATGAGTTTTATTATATGTAATATACACTTTAGTAAATTTGCAGTGAGAGACAGAGAGAGAGAGAGACGATTGGGAAGATTAAGGCTTGAACTGGATTGGACCATGAGGTATATCCAACTCTTGATAATTAAGTCCTTATAAAGTACTGAAAAGTCTATCTGACAGACAAAAAGGAATTTATAGGGGCACCTGGGTAGGCTCAATCCGTTGAGCATAGTATTTTAGCTCAGGTCGTGATCTCAGGGTTTGTGAGTTCATGAGTTCAAGCAGCACGGAGCTCCCTGTTGTCAGCATGAGGGCCCACTTTGAATCCTCGTTCCGCCTCTCTCTGCCCCTCCTGGGCTCACACTGTCTCTCTCTCTCTCTCTCTCAAAAAATGAAAGCATGAAAAAATGAATTTATAGTAAGCTACTTGTAAGGCTAGCCAAGGTAGACAAAAAAGATGCACTTCTCCACCCATTTGGTTTGACCAGAGAAAAACAGCCAAAAAGAATAATAAAGCTTCTGCTGAACAAAGTCCTCTGATTAGCAGGATCCACTTGGCATCTAGAAAATTTAGCTGCTTGAGAATCTTCTAATGTAACGCCCAAAGTTCGAGAGACCCCAAAAACGAACCACCAGAGTCCAGAGCCAAAGCCAAGTGGCAAGGGTCGTTTATTGCAGGTTCGAACCCGGTACTCCGCGCACTCGTTGCCAGTGACGCTAAGAGGCCCCGAGTGAGGTTTTTACAGCCCTTTTATAGACAGGTACAGACAAGTCATGGGGAAAGCAGGGATTTTTCACAGTTACAGAGCTGCAATTGGTTGATATTTAAATTTGAACACTTAGCAGAATTGGATTGGTTCCCGCCTTTAGATCATACAACTAGGGGTACGGGTATCTTAATGATTGGCCAGGAATACAGGGGCGCGCCAAGCAATTGTACAGAAGCGGAACAAGCTGGTTAAGTTTCAGTTTGCCTAGGCCTCTCATTCCCCCCCTTTCTCAAGTACCTGAGGAACCAATCTTGGGTCCTACAGTATTACCTAATCAAGCTCGCTTTCCATGTCTAGGGGCTGATACTGTGGCCTAAGGACCATAATCTGAATGGTGTTTAGTCTGTCCCTGATAAAGTCCATTATTTTATTGATCATAATAGGGCCAAGGGTAAAAAGGAGGAGGAGGCATAGTAGGGGGCCCAAAAGGGGAAGAAGGTAGGGGAGAAACCCGTGGAGTCCTGACCACAGTGGGTTTTCGGCTAGTTCTTTTCGTTGGCGTGCGAGGTCCTCTTGGAGCTGTTTGATTTTGGTCCGAACTATTCCTGATTTATTGGCATAAAAGCAACATTTTTCTTGTAGGGCTAAGCAGATGCCGCCTTGTTCTGCGGTTAGCAGATCCAACCCTCTTCTATTCTGTAACACCACTTCTTCTAGGGAATCTAGCTGATCTTGCAGATCCTGGATTGTCCCTGACAAGGCTTCGACGTCGTCAATTAGTTGACGAGAGAGTCGCAGATAGGAGTGTATGGAGACTCCTAATCCTGCTGTCCTGGTAGTTAATGCGCCTGTAATTCCTAGGCCTACCAGGAGGGGGATAACAGCCACAGCTCATTTGGATCTGCCAGCTACAAAGTCCAGACTAGGGATGGGCATGGGGGGTTTTCCTGCGACTAAGTCGATATCTGGTAGCAGAGTGGCCAGGATGCATACTCCAGTCCAATTGTGGGGAAGGTAGGTGTAGGCTAGGTTATTTCCGCAGACGAAAACGGTGGTGTTGGTACTACATAAGGAGGAGTTGATAGTGATGTACTGGTGGCATCGGGCAAGAGATATGATCCCTACATCTATGCTGTTATTCTGGGAGGTAAGGCTATTTATAAAGCAAGAGGCATTGAACGGGCTAATGAATTGAACGGGGAAGGGGTCAGGTAGGGAAGAGGGAAAGCAGTCATTGGTTATGCGGATATCAACTTCAGTGGGGATGGCGATGGGTCGGGGAGTTTGCTGGGGTAGGCAAAGCCAACAATCTTGGGCTAGAGTCGGGTTAGAGATGTTTAAGAGTGAGAAAGTGGTTTCTAGGATAGACATTGTCTGAGGGTCTAACTTGTAAGGGCTGTGCCTAGGGAGAACTAGGGGGTGGTAATTAAGCTGTGGATACATATGTTCTGCGAGGTCCTTAAGCCTCGTTTGCGTTTCAATCTGTCTAACAGCGTCTTGGGGTCCTCCACCGTCAGACACATGTATGGGGGCTCGGGGGTTCCAGCAGATGGCGGCTCCAATTGAGCCAGAGCAGCCAGCTTGAAGTTGCATATTGTTATCACTGGCTATTGCTGCCCTGTTACTTTGTAGGATGGCCGTAAAGTAGGTGGTGGAGTTATCTGGCCCTATACATTGTTGATAGGAGTCATAACAAGAGCTGTGCATCGACTCTTGGAAAGTGGAGCAAGGGCATTTTGTCATAGGGGGCAGGGGTTTGGGTTTGTTAACACATAACCACTGCTGTTGTTGGAGTCTGGTGGTGTCATAGGTCTGGGTTAAGTAAGCGGTTGTGGTCCCACAGTCTTGGGTTTGAGTGTAGCTTCGCTGTAGACCCCCTCTTCCTACAGAGCCGGCTACTATTCTTTTACTATGTGGCAGGGCAATGGTGCTAACTACGCTACCTCTGCAATCACAGGGCCTTCCATACAGAGCTTGTAACAATCTCTGTTTGTCAACGGGGGCATTTAGTCCTCCCTCCAGGAGTTTGAGGTTGAGGGCTAGTAGGACAAGGGTCACTATCTGGAACATGTCTGGGGGAGGCACGGCGCAAGGTTAGTTTGAGGGGGTTTTTCTTACTCCGGTCTACAGTCCAAGTAGTATTTCTATCAATGTGTCCCACGAGGTTAGACAGCGGGTCGACAGGCTTAATGTGGGTGTGGTGAATCCAGGTAGGGAGGTTATCTACCTTGATGGCGGTGGGAGTTGTCAGGATGATTTGGTAAGGTCCCTTCCATCTGGGTTCAAGGTTCTCCTGCGGGTGTCGCTTGACGAGGATCCAGTCTCCGGGATGATACTGATGGGGAGTGGGTGGGGGCCCCGTCTCATACAGTTCTCTTAATTTAGGCCACACGGCCTCATGAACTCTCTGTAGAGCCCTGAGAGAAGACAAGAGGCTGTTATCTTGGTCTAATTGAATGAGGTTTGACTTAAGATTAGGTATGATAGGTGGGGGTTTGCCAAACATGATTTCATAGGGTGTAAGGCCCAACTTGTACGGGGAGTTGTGAGCCCTATACAGAGCGTAGGGGAGTAATTCTACCCAATTAGCATCAGTCTCCATAGTCAATTTAGTAAGGGTCTCTTTTAATGTTCTATTCATTCTTTCTACTTGTCCTGAGCTTTGGGGCCGGTAGGCACAATGTAATTTCCAATCTGCCCCACGTACGGAAGCCAATCCCTGACTTACCTTAGAGACGAATGCAGGCCCATTGTCTGACCCTATCATTAGTGGAAAACCATACCTGGGCAGGATTTCTTCTAGGATCTTTTTGGCTACAGTCTGCCCCATTTCCTTCTTGGTTGGAAAGGCTTCGGTCCATTCTGAAAAGGTGTCTACGAACACTAGTAAGTATTTATAGCCGTATTTGCCAGGCTTTACTTCGGTGAAGTCCACTTCCCAGTGGGCTCCCTGTAGGGTTCCTCTTTTACGGTGGCCTTGGACTGTGACGTGTAGGTGCGCATTCTGGAGTCGACATGCAGAACAGCCTGTCACAACTCTTTCTGTCTTGTCAGAGATGTTTCTTAACACTAGTTTGGATTGTCTGATGAGATCTTGAAGCCTTCGGGGCCCCAAGTGGGTAGAGTGGTGTATTTTTGTCAGGATTGCGTGGCCCAATTTTTCAGGAAGGATAAGGCGGTCTCTGGAGTCCCGCCACCATCCATCTGTAACTCGGGTCATTGGGAGCCTGCGTATCCAGATAAGATCATCTTCTGAGTATTCAGGCTGTGGGAGTAAATCTTGGGGCCCTGGGTCTGGTAGCTGCGCAGGTAATACTGGGATGGGTTTCTGTGCTACCTGGCGTGCAGTTTGGTCAGCTAGGTTATTTCCTGGAGAGATTGGATCAGTTATTTTTTGGTGACCCGGGCAATGCACTATGGCCAGTTTCTTAGGGGCCCAAATAGCGACCAATAGGGCCAGAAATTTCCTCTCTATTTTTGATATCTTTGCCTTCAGCAGTGAGTAGTCCCCTCTCACGGTATATTGCCCCATGTATATGGGCTGTGGCAAAGGCATACCGGCTGTCTGTATATACAGTCACTTTGTGGTCCTGCCCCATTTTTAATGCTTTTTCAAGGCAATCAGTTCTGCCCTTTGGGCAGAAGTCCCTGGGGGCAGAGCCTCTGCCCATATTACTTCAGTCTCAGATGTCACTGCTGCTCCTGCATACCTCTGTCCTTAATGGAGGAAGCTGCTTCCGTCAGTGAACCAGGTGACCTCAGCATCCGGTAAAGGCCGGTCCTGTAGATCTTCCCTTATTCCATGGATCTGAGCTAGGATGTCGGCGCAGTCATGGAGCGGGAAGTCCAGGTCAGGGTCAGGTAGCAGCGAGGCCGGGTTTAGAGTTCGGGGAGGGGTGTATGTGATCCGCAAGGGATCTAACAGGAGTCCCTGATAGTGGACCATCCGGGCATTGCTCATCCACCTATCGGGGGGCTGCTTGAGCACTCCTTCGATGGTGTGGGGTGTGGTGACATGTAACTCTTGGCCTAGGGACAGCTTATCGGCGTCTTTAACCATTAGGGCTGTAGCCGCTATTATCCAGAGACAAGGGGGCCATCCTGCGGCTACAGGGTCCAGTTTTTTTGAGAGGTAGGCCACTGGTCTGGGCCATGGACCTAGATGCTGGGTTAGCACTGCCTTGGCTATGCCTTTATGTTCGTCCACAGATAAGTGGAAAGGCTTAGAGATATCGGGCAGTCCTAGAGCTGGGGCCGATAGGAGGGCTCTCTTTATCTGTTGAAATGCCTGCTCAGCTTCCGCAGACCATTCAAATGATGGTTGGTTTTTAGAGACTGCGTAAAAGGGTTTGGCCATTTCAGCAAAACCTGGGATCCATAACCGGCAGAATCCCACAGACCCCAGGAATTCTCTCACCTGTCGAGGCGTGGTGGGTTGCGGAATGCGGAGCACAGTCTCTTTCCGGGCATCAGTAAGCCATCTTTGTCCTTTTTTTTAGCAGGTACCCCAGATATATTACCTCAGGTTTGCAGATTTGGGCCTTCTTAGCGGATGCGCGGTACCCTAGGTCCCCCAGCGTCTGTAGGAGGTTTTTCGTCCCCAGGAGACAGGCTTCTCGGGTCTCAGCTGCAATAAGGAGGTCATCTACATATTGTAGGAGAAACACATTTGGGTTTAATTTCTGGTACTTACTTAAATCTTCGTGGAGGGCTTCATCAAATAGGGTGGGGGAATTTTTAAATCCTTGTGGAAGTCGGGTCCAGGTGAGTTGTCCATTTATGCCTCTTTCCGGGTCCGCCCATTCGAATGCAAAGATGTCTTGGCTCTTGGGGGCCAAAGGCAGGGTGAAAAAGGCATCTTTTAAATCAAGGGCAGTGTACCATTGTTTGTCTGGGCTGAGGGTACTGAGAAGAGTATAAGGGTTGGGCACGGTAGGGTGAATGTCCATAACCCGTTTGTTGACCTCTCTTAGGTCTTGCACTGGCCGGTAATCTCCGCTGTTAGGTTTGCGCACAGGCAACAAAGGGGTATTCCACGCCGAATGGCATGGTCTAAGGATTCCGACGTCGAGGAGACGGCGGATGTGTGGGGTGATGCCCAGCCTGGCCTCTGCTGACATGGGGTATTGCTTGACCCTCACGGGGTCGGCCCCTGGCTTGACTTCTATGAATAGAGCTGGGCGATGTTTTGCTAGCCCTATTCCCCCGGTTTCTGCCCAGGCTTCGGGACACCAGTGGAGCCAGTAGCCAATATCCTGTTCTGGGAGGGGTGGAGTTTGGTGAAGCCGATATTCATTTTCCAGTTGTATGGTGAGGACCGAGATAGGTTGGTCCTGGGAGTCAGTTACTTTAGGCCCTCCGGGCTGAAAGTGAATTTGAGCTCCCATTTTCTTGAGGAGATCTCTTCCCAGCAAGGGGCAGGGACTATCCGAAATAACCAAAAAGGAATGGGTTACCCTTCCTGACCCTAGATCCACGGTTCGTTGGGTGGTCCAAGGATATTTTTTAGTTCCTGTAGCTCCCTGGACCCAGGAGGACTTATGACAGATTTTTCCATGACGGCTAGTGAGTACTGAATGCTGTGCTCCTGTGTCCACAAGGAATTGCACAGGAGTCCCCTCCACTTGTAGGATTACCCTGGGCTCGGGAAGGGGGTCCGAACCCCATCCCTTCCCCAAATAGGATGGGGGCCACTTTGGTTTGCCACGGCTCTGATCCCGAGCGCAGTTGTTTCTTTTTGGGACAGTCACGAATCCAATGTCCTTTTTCTTTACAGTAGGCGCATTGGTCTTTGTCTAGGGGGCGCCTGGGGGGGGCGAGTTTTCTGTTCTCCTGTGGGCCCTTGATCTTTCTGAACTATGGCGGCTAAGACTTTAGTCATTTCCCTGGTGGCTTTGAGCTGTTTATCCTCTGGAGCATCCCGATTATTATATACCCACTGAGCAATGCAGAGTAGGTCCTGGATCTGTTTTCCTTCTAGATCCTCTAATTTTTGGAGTTTCTTTTTGATGTCAGAGGCAGCCTGGTTTACAAAAGACATCACAACTGTGGCCTGATTTTCGGGGGCCTCGGGGTCCATGGGGGTGTACTGCCTAAAGGCTTCCATTAATCTTCCTAAAAAGGTGGCAGGGCTCTCTGTTTTACCTTGTATTATCGAGTATACCTTGGCCAAATTAGTGGGCTTGCGTGCTGCAGCCCGGAGACCCGCCATTAGAGTCTGGTGATAAATAAGCAGTCGTCCCCTACCTTCTGCTGCACTGTAGTCCCAATCAGGCCGAGTCAGGGGAAATGCTGCATTAATGAGGTCAGGATTAACAGTGGGTCCACCATCTTCCCCGGGAACCAGCTTCCGCGCTTCAAGTTGAATCCTCTCCCTTTCTACCGCGGTGAACAGGATTCGCAAAAGCTGTTAGCAGTCATCCCAGGTAGGCTGGTGGGTGAACATTATGCTCTCTAGGAGGGCTATGAGATCTTTAGGGTTATCAGAAAACCGAGCATTTGGGGTTTTCCAATTATAAAGGTCGCTGGTAGAGAAGGGCCAATACTGGAGTCGGGGGTTGCCCGTTTCATCGGGGGTCCTATTTCTCGCAGGGGTAGGGCCACAGTGGAGTCGGGGAGGCGAGAGCTTGGGTCACGCTGGGTGAGCCCACGAGTTCGCCGGCTGGCCCTTCGCAGTTGGTTTCATTTTCAATAGGGCTCGGCGCGGCTACTGCCCCTTGCCTCCCTGGTCCCGGCGCAGCGGCCGCTTCCCGTCCTCCTGGTTCCCCTTGGGGGGCAACCAGCGGGGCGACTGGTGGGGCGGCCGCTGCGGGTAGGGACTGGGGTGCGAGGGGAGGGGGGTGATAGGGTGGAGGGTCTAGGGATAGTAGGTCCTGACTGTCGGGCAATATGGGACATAGGGGCGCCGAGGGGGTCCGCGGCTTGGTTGGGTCCATGGAGTGGGCCGCAAGAATCTTACAGGACCCTGAAGAGAAGAAGGGGGACATCCAGGGTGGAGGGTTTTCAACAAGATCCTGCCAGACGAGGATATAGGGAACCTGGTCTGGGTGGCCTTCCTTTCCTGGCAGGAGGGTTCTGGCCTTGACCTTAGCAATTATAGGCAAACAAAAAGTGCCCTCGGTAGGCCAGCCCACCCCGAAAGTGGGCCACTCAGATAGGCAGAAAGTGATGTCTCGGCCGGCGGATGTCCAGGCTTAGGTTATGGCCTCTAGTCTGGACATACGTGAAATTAGCCAGAAGAAGGGAGAGAGGTGTAGTCTGGTTCTGTCCCATAGTCTGTATAGGAAGAAATAGATGGGTTAAGTTAGTTTATGTTCCGGGAGTGAGCCGGATATACCCGCAGAGGAGAGGAGACACGTTAAATCGCAAGCGCGGTGGCAAACAGAAGGTGCCCTGGTGAAGAGACCAGATACGGAACGGGTGTCTGTAACCCGAACAAAAAGTTCCAATGGGCCAAAATGGTGCCCCAGACGGGTTCCAGAGGACATCTCCTACTGGTCTCGACTGACTGCCCTATAGCGCGTCCGCCAGGGCTGTGTCAGTCACTGATAAAGATCCCGCTCGGGAGAGCCAGAAATGAACAGACAAACAGAAACGGACAGAGCCGGCTCACTTACCGATCAGTCTCAGGAATGACCCGTTGACTTGGGGGTCTGGTGGGTTTGGGGGTATCCCAGACGAGCCCCCAAATGTAACGCCCAAAGTTCGAGAGACCCCAAAAACGAACCACCAGAGTCCAGAGCCAAAGCCAAGCGGCAATATCCAGTTGGTTGACTTTTCATTTTGATGAAATGACCCAGAATTTATTTGCATGTGATTTGAGGCAAGGACTCGATTTTGTGGAAAAGTAATTATCTCATCATTATTTACAGAAACTCATTTTCTCCACTATCCTCAAAGCCATTTTTGTCATATGAACATGGTCTGTTTCTTGACACCATCCTATCCCCCTAACTAGTTTTTTTTTTTTTTTAAATGCAAGGTCTTCTTTAATAACAATTTTAAATTCAGCAATAATGGTAAATTCTTTCAGTAGCTTAATAATTAACCTGTAGTGTCTCTTGTGTTTCCTAGATGAAAACTCATGTTACTTGAGTATAGCTAGTGTTTGGTGTCTTTTCTTTTTCTTTTTTAATTTATGCTTTGTTTGATATCCAAGTCTCTGAATAATATGTGTGTTTTTACTAAGCTGTCTGGTTTTTGTGTTCCCCATTGGCTCTAAAAATCAGTATCTTTTTTCTCTTCTGGTTCATGAGTTTTTCTTTCTTTTCTTTCTTTTTTTCTTTACGTTTATTTATTTTTGTGAGAGAGCGAGATCAGCAGCACGAGCAAGGGAGGAGCAGAGACTGAGGGAGGGAAAGTCTCAAGCAGGATCCCCACTGTCAGCACAGAGCCCGTTGCAGGGCTCTAACTCAGGAACTGTGAGATCATACCTGAGCCAAAATCAAAAGTCAGTTGCATAACCAACTGAGCCACACAGGTGCCCCATCGTTCATGAGTCTCATGGGACGTTCTTATTCCTTGGAATTTTTTTTTTTTTCTGTGAAGACTCTTTGAAACCTGGCTTGAAGACAGGCTTCCCCAAATCGGATCTTAATTTGCTTTTTCTTAGGTTCCTAGGACACCGTAAAGTGGAGATACTTTAAACTGAAATCTCAGCTTGAGTTTTCGTTTATTTAGTATTTTTTAGACCAGTTAGGATAAACATATTCCATTGGAGAACTGACCTGTGGTTATGAATTATCACAGAAGTTTTATTTTGTCTCAGATCTGCTTTCAGCACTTAGATTCTTAAAGAAGCAGGCTTATTTCTTGTTCCTTTTCATGTAAGCTATGGGTTTTTAGTGTCCCAGCTATAGGAGTGAGTTTGTCTGCTATTAGATACTCTTCTGTGGAAAGGGCGGCTCTTGGGCTTCTTCTCTTTGTCCTTCTCCCTATATCTTGGGAACAAAAAGTAAAATTTAAGATCACTCTTAGCAAATGCCCTTAAGGGTGAGTTGTTTTTAATATCTTAGCAGCTCAACATTGACTTTTAAAAGGCTTTTAAAATATTTTATCAAACGTTTTTATTTTTTATTTATTTTTTATTTTTTTAATGTTTATTTATTATTGAGAGACAGAGAGACACAGAGCGTGAGCAGGGGAGGGGCAGAGAGAGAGGGAGACACAGAATCCGAAGCAGGCTCCAGGCTCTGAGCTGTCAGTACAGAGCCCAACGCGAGGCTTGAACTCACAAACTGTGAGATCATGACCTGAGCCTAAGTCGGTTGCTCAACCAACTGAGCCACCCAGGTGCCCCTTTTTTAATTTTTTTTCAATCAGGAAGTCATTTAATGTAGTCACTCTCCCAAGCTGCAGAAAATGGATCTGCTTAATCTTTACATGACTAAATTCTGTATTTCAGAAGTTAGGAAAATTATTAATTTTCAAATATTACTTTTAAGATTAAGATTAGGAGTTGGAAATTCTTATAAAAATTAACAGAATTAAATATATATTTGCTTGTCAGCCTATTAGCTAGGAAGATAATCATACCTGATTAAAAAATAAATATATTTTCACTTTATATAAACTTGCTATTTTTGATACATAATGACACAAATGTAGAAGACAAAAAATGCCAGAAGTTGTTTAAAAATGCAGATGAAAGAATTAGTATTTTTGGCACAAGGACACATTTTCTATCATGATCTGATTCAATGAGTATGAACCTAGTTGTGCTCTACTCTTTCCTTCTCTAGAAAAACCATTCAGATTCTAAAGTGGTATGAAAGAGGAAAAAATTGTAAAATATCTCTTAGAACATCTTTATCCTTTCCATCTACATTTACATTTCCCATCAGTCCTTTATATTTCCTAATGACTATAATAATGAATATTTAATCTCAGTATGTACTCTGAACTGTAATCTCATAAAACTTAATAGCATGTCAGGTTTTAAATGCAATCTTTGGGTCTTGATGATGCATACCTTCTTTCCTTAAGCTTCTGCCTGGCACTTTTGCCCAGTTTACCACTATTGAGGCAAAGAACCTATCTGTGGATTGTCTATATTATGTACATAATACTTTGACCCTAAAAACAAAGGGATTTGCTGAGGATTTCTAGCTGATATTTCCTTCTAATTCTACTTGAAATGTGTGGATTTCATAGAACACAGCACAAGTGAATCTCGACAGAAAATGCATAAAGATTTTACTTGATCAAACCACTCATTATGGTCCAGAATGGCCCACATATTCCTGCCATGGGGACAAATTATCTTTAATATTGATTTCATTTAAAAACTTATACTAAAGATCCACTTAAATATTAGTATTTCTTTATAGTTTCACCCTTTCATTTTTTGATCTCTAATATAAATTTGGGGGAGGCAAAGTTGTTGATGAAAAATATTGCTTAAGTTTTAATATGATCTTTGAATTTGAGTTCCCTGCAAGGGAAAAAAAGATAAAAAAAAAATAGACCGAAGACCAAAATTCAGGTTAGAGTTTAGTAATAAAATGTTCATCTTACATATTTTTCAAAGAAAAGGAAATATAAATTGAGAAAATTAAAACAGCACATATATAAGCTGCTTGACAGATTTCAGTATCTCAAGGAAGGTGACAGCAGCAATGTCACATTTCAAATAAACAGTTTTGTAAAATTGTAAAGCTTTTAAAGGAATTATTTAAAATAATGAAGCAAACCCAGTGCCCGATGTATCAAACACATTCTTGGTGGTGATAAGTAAAATTTCTGTGAATATGTACAATGGGTCAAAGTACCAAAATAAAAAATGATAATAATTCTGCCAAAAAATTCTTCATATGAAAGCATATTTTAATATATGACAGTTAACAACATCATACTTCACAGAGAATTTTGTTGTTGTTGTTAACTGGATTTTATTGGAATTCATGAAGGCACGGATTACTAAAAACTAAATTGAATGCATGTGCTTTTCTGGAAGCAAACTCATCTGTGAAGCTGATTGGAAATGCAGTTGAGTGTCATATCTAAACGTGCTATAGGGGCGTATGGTAGAAATTATAATCCTGCTGGGGATGCAGCCTATTATGTTATTACAGTTACAAATATAGTAAACAATAAATTTATTATTATTACCAGATTTGAACTGAAGTAAATCTCTATTGTTGCATGATAAAACCATGCAGCATAAATCAACCATGCTAGCTCTTATAATACTTTTTTCTAATGAAATATCTTGAATTGCATTCACATCAAACTGGAAACTACACTTAAACTGTTATTGACTATGGCTCCTCTGAGGACAATAGTAAAGTGTTACCATTGTTTCCCATTTCAAAAAAGAAAATAAATTGAAGGTCACGAATAAAATTTCTTTTCAGTTTTTGGCAAAATGGGTATAGAATTTAAAATATCACAGAAGCAGGGTAATAGTTTCATTTTTACGCTGAAGTGGAAAGTGTTCTCAATATTCCACATTCTACCAAATGTAATCTCCTTGTGGGCGCCTGGATGGGTCAGTCGGTTAAGCGTCTGACTTCAGCTCAAGTCATGATCTCACAGTTCATGGATTTGAGCCCCATGTAGGGCCCTGTGCTGACAGCTCAGAGCCTGGAGCCTGCTTCAGATTCTGTGTCTGACTCTTTCTCTGCCCCTCCCTCTCTCTCTCTCTCTCTCAAAACTAAATAAACATTAAAAAAAAAAAACAAAACAGTACAGTGGTCTGTCTAGAGTTAAAATTTAGTTTCCTAGGTAAAAACTAAACAACCATATAACTCTCTCTGGCTATCTTCAATAGGTGAATGTCTACTCACCTGCACTGCTTATGGGTCTATTCTCTTTATGATCTTTAGGTAAGAGGGTTTTGGCAATCAAAGACCAGGTTTTTAAATTTCTCTTGTCACCTGTCGCTGTGTACAAAAACACCCCAGAATTTAGTGTCTTAAGACAACAATAATTTTATTTATTTGCTCACAATCCTGTAACTTGGCCAGGGCTATAGGGGAACAGATTATCTCCCCTTTACTTGGCATCAGTTAGGCTAATTTGACTGGTGCCAGGCTCAACTCCTAGATACCCTCAGTTAGAAGGTGAGGGCAAAGTCAAACTGTCTCTTGGTTAGAAGCTCAGCTAAAGCTATTAACTGAGGCTTGTATTCTCCTCCATGAGCTCTCTCCATGTGGTTAGGCTGGGCTTTTCACAGCATCATTGTCTTACAGTAGTTGAATTCTGTGCATGATGGTGCACTGTCCCCAAAGTGCAAAAGCAGATGTTGCCAAGCTTAAGCCCAGAACTCTCACAACTAGCAGTGTCCTATCACTTCTGCCATTTTGTGTTGCTTAGGAAACATGTTCAAATTTAAGAGGATTAGACTACAAAACATGTAAATACAGGGAAGTATCATAACATTATCATGTACCTCAGTACTACCCATGCAGATGGCACTAACTGCATAGTTCGTATATGAATGAATTATAGATCATCTGAATCATCTGATTTCAATGTTTTATTACCTTGATTATGTTTTTCCTGGAGGTTAGCTGGAACTTCTTGTTTAATTTAAACATCTTTTCCCCAGTTCAAATTACTATAGCTTATAGCTAATAAATTGTCAACATCATCTTCACAAAGCATGTTTTTAGTTAAACACAAGCCATTTCCTTTCTGTCCGAAAAACAAACCCATTTTTGTTCCCATATAGGAAATAAGAAAGATAACCAAATACTTGGCAAGTTAATGACTTGCCCTTAGAAAGTAGAAGAGTTTCTTTGAATCAAACACAAGATAGTTTGAGTACTTTTAGGGAGCTGTATAAGGAAGAGCCATTTCACAGGAATAATTTCATCCCTGGTGTCAGGAATGGGCCCTTAGTTGTAATTTAGGATTCCTAAATTTAAGTCCTAATTCTGCTGCAATCAAGCAATGTATCTTAATCAGCCCTGATCTCCAGGGGTCTGTTATCTCAACTGTAAAATGAGGGAATTGTACTAAAAATTTCTGGAAAAGAAAATGTTTCAGCTACAACACTCTAAGGTTCTATTCATAAAACACAAAGCATTTGCAAATAAAGAGAGTTTTGATTTCTTTTTATTTACATAGTGTTTTATGTTCACACTATGAAGAGGAATGACATCCCAGATCTACAAACATGTACATTTTTGAAAAATATTTTACCTTATGTTTGGAATAGCTCTGGTTAAGTTTGAGATTTATTTTTCCAGGAAAAAAAAGATATCTATATTTTATTAATATATTTCCCTATAGATTGATTCTCTGTGGCTGTTTTTCTTAAAACCATTTCTATTTATATACAAAAGATTCAAATAAGTGAATGGAGTTTTTGAATTAGAAAACAAATTTATAGGACTGTAAACAATTATTATGGTTTTACAATGTCTGAACATCATCTGATTCCCTCTGATTCTATGTTTATGTCACCATAGACCTGGTAAGAGATCCCCAAGCTCTATGCCTTACTAATAATGGGTATTAGATAAAACATTAATTAAGTTAGTAGGTGAGTAAAGTTCTTAACCAGTAGTAGTCCAGTGATATTCTGAAGGCTTGCATCTGCTTGTGAAAACTGATTGTGTCTATTTCTTCCAAATATTCATTCAATAAGGTCATGTTGGTAGGTGACATTAGCCATTATGGAAATATTTACACCATGGAAATCAGCAAATACTACATATCAGTGTTCTTTTTTTCTTTCTTTCTGCCAGTTGTTAAACAGTTTTATTCACAATACCAAGCGAAGTCAGGGAGTCAGATTAAAGGGGTAGAATGAAGATGGACAGTCAGAATCAGCCTTAAACTTAGACCTGAATGAAATGTCAGCCATATAGTCTTGCAAAAAACATTTCTGATAGAGTATTAAGGTGTGGAAAAACCATAAACCGGAAACGACATCAATAGGTTTAAAGATCAGCAAAGAGGACAGTAGGGATAGAATATATTTATCGAGAGG